GGGATTCCCGAGAGGATAATCACGGATAATGGTTCAAATCTGAACAACAAAATGATGAAGGAGCTCTGTCAGAATTTCAAGATCGAACATCACAACTCCTCCCCTTACCGACCCAAGATGAATGGCGCTGTCGAAGCGGCCAATAAAAATATCAAGAAAATTGTTCAGAAAATGGTGGTGACTTATAAAGATTGGCATGAAATGCTACCTTTCGCTTTGCACGGTTATCGTACGACGGTACGCACATCAACCGGGGCAACTCCGTTCTCGTTGGTATACGGAATGGAAGCGGTATTACCATTGGAGGTTGAGATCCCTTCTCTGAGGGTATTGCGAGACGTGCAGCTGGACGAGGCAGAATGGGTAACGAATAGATTGAACCAACTGAGTTTGATGGATGAGAAGAGGCTAGCTTCTCTGGCATACGGTCGTTTGTACCAAAGACGAATGAAGAAAGCGTACGACAAGAAGATACTTCCGCGAAGCTTTCAGACGGGCGACCTTGTGCTGAAAAGGATTCTCCCGCCGCAAGCAGATCACAGGGGCAAGTGGACCCCCAACTACGAAGGGCCATACGTTGTCAGTAAGGTCTTTTCAGGAGGAGCTTTATTGTTGTCCACCATGGACGGAGAAGACTTTGCGTCACCTGTGAATTCGGACGCAGTTAAAAAATACTTTGCTTAAAATAGACCCGCTGGACAGAAAAAGAGAGTCCAGGCAAAAATGGGGCATCCTGGCGAACCAAAAACAGAATGAAAGGTTCGGGCAAAAGTTAGGGATAAAATTGAAAAATGTACACCCGCGAAGTTGAAAACCTACACTGGGCGGCTTCGGCAAAAAAGGGTATCCCGGTGAACTGAAAACCCGTAAAGGGCGGTTCACGCAAAAGTTAGGGATTTGAAAAGCAAATGACTGCGGTCCGAATTCAATGAGCATCTATGCGGGAGAATACATTTGAGGAGTCAGTTATCGGATACAATCTCTTCTGAAAAAATGGATACCGGGAAAGCATTAGAGTCGGATGAGTCATGGGAGGATCAGTTCGTGGTGTTCATCTGCATCCCGTTGCCGACATGTGTACAAAATTTAATTTGTCAAAATATTCATGCTTCTTGTGCATACTTATGTATTTGCTCTGCGTAGCTTCCTCTTTTCAGGAGTTACATCCCATGTACAAAAAACTCCGCCTATTCAGGGGCTCAATCAATGAAAATATGTTATTCAGTACTTGATGCTGGTTCTTTACGGTTTTGTGCATGATAAAACGCCTAAGTTTATTTGAAACTAGCATGAGTATAACATCACTGGCCCCTGCCAACAATTGTTAAAGCTTTGAATTAACTGAGTGTAACGTCACTAACCTGAATTGATTTGATTGCATAGGCTTGTCGTGTCTTGTTTGTGTTGTTGCAGGTTCCATAACCGTACGAGAAATATGATCAAAAGATTGCGATAACGAAAGACTTGATCCCCACGTAGGTCATGCATGTTCTTCCTGAAGAAGGATGGAATTCCCCAGCTAGCCGTAGCTTCCTCAAAGGGAGCAGAAAAGTTATTCGTCCTCAGCGGAGTTTGGCGATTCCAAGATCATGAGGCTGTATTCAGACAGGTTCATCTTTCCCCGCAGGGTCAGGCACTCTCCCCCAGGGAGTCAGTGGATTTTCCCCGAGAGAATCATCCCATCCCTAGCGGAATTCTCTTTGCAAGTGTTTTCATTCCTTCCAGTGGAACTCGAAGATTAAGACTCTCCCAAGCATAGTTGATGGTGGGTCCTGTCATTTATTTTGTCAGAGATACTGGTGATATCAGTTCACGTTCCAGCAGAAAGTCCGATCGAACTATGCACATCTGCTATTCCCCAGCAAAGTTATATTCCCCAGCAGGGGGTTACTTCAACAAGGCGTTTGGTTTGAGTTCCTAATTTCCCAGCTGAGTCGACTTCACTTTTCCAGCATTTATTTTGCTGGAATAATTCTGTAGCATCTGGCTATCCCCGGCGGAGTCGGTATTATATCTTTAGCATTTATTTTGCTGAAGCAGTTTCTGTATCTTAGCAGTTCAGGCAGAGAGAGTTCTTGCTCAAATGAACTACCAAACACTCAAGATCTCGGCATGAGATATTCAATGATAATGTCAGTTTCGGCAGTATTCCCCACAAAGTCTGCAGGATAAGTTTCTCTTTGTCCCCAAGCAGAGTTACTTATGTCCCCCGCCAGAGTCTTTGTTAAAGTTTCTCTAGTCCGATCAGCGGATTGTTTACTGCAAAGTTGTTGTTACGTCAACATTAAGAGGGTTTCCATGAATCAGAATTTCAGAGGCCACCGCCGGTTATCAGAACAGGCGTCCGATAGTTTGGGTTCCAGACATCCCCAGTAGAGTTCATCTCAAAGTCGCTGTCACGTCAGTGCTAAGAAGTTTGTGGGTGAGGATCATTGGAGAACTAAGTCCTGATGTGGACAATTTATTCCTATATTGACGGGATTTCTTCAGAAGTGGGCGTCCTAACGTGGACATGTTTATTTCCCTGGATTGGTGAGTTGTGTTAGTCCTATCGTGGGCAGATTCGGTTTCTCGAAATTAGTGGAATGGGAGGTCATGACGTTGACAAAAGTGATTACTCTTTGTGTTGGTGTCCTGACGTGGACCAGTTCCTCTCAGCAGTTATCTTTCTTTGCGTTGGCAAATCATGGGTCCTGACGTGGACAGATCAGACCAGTGTGTGAGTCCTTACGCGGACAAGTCTTATTTCCTCAGCGGGTCGAAGTCTTATTTCAGATGAGAGAAGTATGTGTGGAAGTTCAGATTTGATTTAATTCTTCAGCCAGAAGGAGGGTCTATTTTAGTATCAAGGACGAGATATGCATGAGCTGAATGGCATGTTGTTGAATAAGAGTTTGTTGTATGGTGAAAGGATGGTATGGTAGTGCAAATAAAAATTTCAGAGATTTGTTTGTTGTTGGTTTTTATTGGTTCAGAAATATAATTCATTCGAGATCCGAGTTTGATTTATGTTTAACCTTGTTTTAAGAAGAATAATTCAATGTTTGGTTTGTACTTCAAGGAGGCTATAAATTAAGCAATTGAAGTTGTTGGATTAACATGAAGATTCTAAGGTTAACTATTGTGTTTTTTCCTTAATCAAGTTCCAAGCACAATACTCGTCAAAAGCCTATTTACAAAAGGATCCATTGAGGATTTTTGAGTCCACCACCATTCAAAACCATCTCATTCCAAAGAAACAAAAGGGGTGAAATAAAAATCCATTTTTGAGCAGTTTTTAATACACATTAATTTATACACGTGCCTGCCACATCTTTTTATTACAGAAAATTCATGGAATTCTATTTGCAAAGCAACAAACAAATTGTCTCATGTCACCAACTTTGTATTCATCATACAACATGTGCTACCCGGCCCATTTCATGACAGAAATTTCAAAAAAAGGGGAACAAAAGAGAAGTGAATTTGAAGCCTCATATAAAACCTCTGCACTAGCCAGCACAAAGCAGCACTGTACCACCCCTGCTATAGTTGCAGCCTGCACTAGCCAGCACAAAGCACACCGGACCAAAACCTGCTAAAGCAAAAGACAAGCCGTCCCTGCTGCACTCACAATGCCAACCTGCCATATGCTGTTACACAAATCCCACATCAGACAAAAACTGCACCTCCACCCACTGGCTACACCTTCACCTACAGCCTGCATAACCTGTACAGAAAAGGACAACAACAACAACCCATGAAAGCGACAATGCAGAGAGAAGAGATGATGAGAGGAGGTTAATAAGAGGGAGACCAAGAGAGAATAAAAGGACAGGCGGGAGGGAAATGAAAGGAGGTTTTTTTTTCCAGAAAAATGTAGAGAACAAAAACATATCTTTTCTTCTCATAACCATCACCATTTTTGACCATTCTTCAAAAACTCAAATTCAATCACCATTGAATAATCTTCTTCCAGCTGCCAACATCTCACCTTCAAATAGATAACCTTCAAACAATTCAAACAGAAACAGAACTTATCTCCTCAACCACTTTTTCGCTCAACTTCGACCACTTTCAGGATCCATCTCCAACCTTTTATCACCAAACTTCCTTCCATAAATTGAACCGTAACCCTCCATGTAAACGCCATTACTCACACGCATATCTTCTTCGATCTATAAAACATACAATCAGTAACAAAATCGACGGTACCATACGGAGATTCTAGTTTTCAATTCTGTGCAAGGATACTGTTTTGAAAGACGCAAAGATTGGTGCCGGTGCAGACATGTTGCTGTGATTGCTATGTTGATGGCTTGAGAGGCGAAGTGAATATGGCTTGCCCTGTTACTTCAAACTTCAACATTTACTATGCTAACAGCAAAAGTTCTGGATCTGTGACGATGATAGGCAAGTCGTACCAGTTTCACAACCTATGAGAATCGCAAAATTTTCATCAACAGCAGATGTTGCAACAGGAAGAATAAAGTCAAAGGAAGTGGATTCAAATTCGTACCTGGAACTCTAGTTTATTTGATTTCACTTCCGAACTTCAGCTCGCACTCTCAAGCTCACCTTTCATTTTCGTCCACCCGAACCGCCAATGACAAACTTCCTTGCACCAGCTTTTCAATACACGAAACCTTTAACATCCACCGTTGCATAAAACTAACAAACAAATCTATTTTCTATCTCATCTTTCACTTTGTTTTTGTTCGGTCGAGTATCAACAAAACAAAACTAACACTCTCTGTTCCTCTTAACTTGTCCCTATCTTAATCTCTATCTAAAACCCCTCTTCTGTCTTTTCTTAAACCCATCGACACTGTAACAAAGGAAAAACGCAACACGACACTTCTTCGCTATCTCGTTCCAACCATTTCCGTTATTGCCGTTATTTCTGTAACGACTGTTGAAATCCCGTTTTCAAAGGTAGCAGTAGCAGTGATGCATGCTATGAAAAACCTGCTGTAGATTCTGTTCCACCTTCACGCTATCAATTTAACGTGAAAGATTACATGGAGGCTCAAATTCATCAACTTGAGCAAGACGCGTACTCTGCCGTCTTGCGTGCTTTTAAAGCTCAGTCAGATGCTCTTACTTGGGAGAAAGAGGGTTTGATAACTGAGCTAAGAAAAGAGTTAAGGGTTTCAGATGATGAACACCGAGAGCTTCTTACCAGGGTTAATTCCGATGAAATAATCCACCGCATAAGGGACTGGAGACAAACTGGCATTTACCAACCTCCAAGACGCAGCACATCACAGCCTGTTCATGATATTTTACCCAGTCCAACTGTTTCAGCCTCCCGCAAAAAACAGAAGACGTCTCATTCGGGTCAGTCATTGCCTGGTTTGTCTACCGTAAAGTCTGGACCGTACGCTTCCACTGGACCCGCTGGGGCTAGGCATTTTGCAAATCGCAATTCTTCTAGTAATCTGATATCTAACGCGCCTGGTGAAGGAGCATCATTTGATCCGTTGATTGGGAAGAAAGTTTGGACTAGATGGCCTGAAGACAACCACTTTTATGAAGCCGTTATAACCGATTACAACCCTACCGAGGGTCGGCATGCTTTGGTTTATGATATTAATAAAGCAAATGAAACTTGGGAATGGGTTGATCTCAAAGAGATATCACCTGAGGATATAAGATGGGAAGGTGAAGATCCGGGCATACTCCACAGAAGTGGACATAGCAGTCAAGGTCGTGGAGCAAAGAAATTCTTCAGCCATGGTGGTAATGATACTTTAGGTGCTGGAAGAGGAAGAGGACATCCAAGATATCAACCCAGAATGTTGCTGATCATCAGAACAAAAGCTCTTTCAGTTTCAATAGTCTCCTTCGTAAGCCTAGGAAGCAACGCAAGGTGGCGGAGTATTACAAGAACCAAGAGAGACTCCTTGAAGGGTTTAACGAAATGGAGGCTATGCATGAAACCGGTTTTTACCCTGGAGGTCTCACCGAGGATGAAATGAAGCAGCTTGCAAAGAGTGAGAGGATGGCGGTTCATGTGTCAAATGCGTGTAACTTGGTGCTGTTTGCGGCGAAGGTTTTTGCGTCAATCGAGAGTAGATCATTGGTAGTCATTGCATCAACACTAGATTCTCTTTTGGATCTCCTGTCAGGTTTCATACTGTGGTTTACTTCCAATGCTATGAGAAAGCCAAACCGGTTTCACTATCCGATTGGAAAGAAACGCATGCAACCAGTGGGTATCATTTTTTTTTTGCATCAGTAATGGCAACTTTGGGCTTGCAGATTTTGATCGAGTCTGGTCGACAAATTATGATAAAGGAAAAGCCTGAAGTTGACCCGACTAAGGTAAATTGGATGATCGGAATTATGGTTGCCGTGACTGTGGTGAAGTTCGTTCTTATGATCTATTGTCGAAGATTCAAAAACGAAATTGCCAGAGCTTACGCGCAAGATCATATGTTCGATGTCATTACTAACTCTGTCGGATTAGCTGCTGCTGTTCTAGCTGTCAAGTACGCATGGTGGATCGATCCAACCGGAGCTATTATCATTGCATTATATACAATAAACACATGGACAAAGACAGTGATTGAGAATGTTTGGTCACTCATCGGAAGAACAGCGCCACCCGATTTCTTGGCAAAGCTAACATACCTTATATGGAATCACCACGAACAAATCAAGCACATAGATACGGTTAGAGCATACACGTTTGGCGCACATTACTTTGTGGAAGTCGACATTGTTTTGCCGGAAGACATGCTTCTGAACCAAGCAGCACAACAACAAACTCAACCTCCTTCAAAGCCTTTTCACAAGCAGTTGGCGTGCATTGTTTTCTCAAACTCAAAACTCGCTTCCATAACCTTCAACAAACTTCAGCCACAAAGCCCAGAAACTTCCTCCACTGTTTTTCTTTGAATCACCTTCGAACCCACTCTGCAAATCCACCCACCTCACCTTCCTTCCATCATCATCAGACACCAACGGAAGCTCGCCGGCAAAACCATTTCCACCCTCTTCGAAATCCTTACCTACATCATCATCATCCTCTTAACACCTCAACTAACAACAACAATACAAACCCAGAAATCCCAAATTTTCAACTCTTTCTTCAACCTTCCTTCATCAGCTCATCATTAGACCTCCATTAACAACCGTGAATCTCCAAACCACAGACCCAGAAGTTCAAACCAACTTCAACCTCAAACCATTAAACACCACTCCCGATCAACTCTACCCATCTAAACCAACCACCATCAACACCTGCATAACAACCAATTCTGCAAAAGATCAAAATTTCCATCAGCATATAACCCCATCACAGCAGCTACAACTTTGGATACAACACAAAAAACATTCATCGCGTCACTGCCACATATTTCTTTCCAGACAACCGCGGTGTTAATCGAAACCGCCGTATGAATGTGAGAGCCATGATGGAAAAGATCAGAGTTTGAGAAAAAGCAAGAGCAAGACCACTCAAACCTGAGGAAAGCGAATCCACGCGAGAAAGCTCAGATGAAACGAATCTTGAACGCAGTAAGACGAACGAAATCCATCACGAGCGAGGCTTATTTTAAATGGACTTGAATGAGCGAGGTTGACGAAATTGAAGCATTGAGTGGGCAAGAAAGAAGGATCGTCGTCCGCTTTCTCTGGTGCGATCGATGGTGATGCGATGTTGATAACCAGACTTCTTTTTTTCCCTTTCCAGTTTGTTCTAAGAGTGATTTGGCTTTAAGGTAAGTGGGCTTTGCCGTTTCCTTTTCAATATAGCTGGTGACACCCCCCGTTTCTTTGAGCAGTGTGATGATGAACGGGTTTGAAACCCATTATGATTCACATATGGATGATCACACCGGTATATTCCATAACCTTTCGCTTTTAATTTTACTTTAGTTAGATCTTATTTATTTATTTAAATTAGGTTTAGTGATATTAGAATATTGTTTAACTTTAGTTTTAGCTTTAAATTGTAGGATTTAACTTTAATTTAGAATTACATTAGGATTAACCTTAATTTAAGTTTTAGAGTTTCCATAGTTTAAAAGATTAGATTTTATTTATCATTGGACATTTTATTCCAATTTCCTCTTTTTTAGGTCGATGACGACATTTTCTTCGATTCTCCGTCAAATTATTGATGAGAAATGAAGAATCTGAGACCGATTTTTTTTTTCTCCTCTTTCTCACTTTTCGGCTCTTTCATTTGTCACTTTTTTGGGTCGATGACGAGACCTCCGTAAATCGGTTACTAAGTCAATATATTGATAAGTATCGTTGGATCTGAGACCACCTTTTTTTTTCTCTCCTCATTTCTTGTCCCGATTCGATTCAGAAACATTGTCAAATAATCTTCAAAATCAAATCATCTTTGCATTGAACTAAACGAGGGGATTAAGTGTAGACTTTCTTCCTCTCCGAGTGTTGGGATACCCACTGTAGTGAGGGTGGTTCCGACACTCGTCTTTCAATACGAAGACGTTTCCCATCCATTTTCAAATCTCATCTCCCTAAAATCAATTTTCTTTGTATTGAATTCGACGAGAGGATTGGGTGTAGACCCCTTCTTCTTCGAGCGTAGGGATGCCCACTGTAGTGAGGGTGGTCTCGATGCTCGTCTGTCAATACAAAGATGCTTCCAACGCTTCCTCATAAAACCTCGGTCTCGTACTGAGTATACTTTCAACAATAATATCATTTCTCTTTGTATTGAATTAAGAAGAGAAGATTGGGTGTAGACCTCTTCTTCTCCGAGTGTCGGGATACCCACTGTAGTGAGGGTGGTCTCGATACTCGTCTTTCGATACGAAAACGCGACTTCTTCCACTACCTCTCGCTTTCACAACTTCCTTCCACAATTTTCACACCTAAAACCTCGATCCCGCACCGAGTGCATTTCAATTCATTTTCACAAAAAAACTTGAATGGTCGTGGAGTGGTTAGGCGTAGGCCTTCTCCTATCCCGAGTGCTGACGTTTACCGTAGGGTTCTCCGTCGCAAAAGGCACTTACCATTCAAAACCAAAAACATCTTTAATAAGAGAACAAAGTTCTCTTTGCATTGAACTAAAGAGAGAGGATTGAGTGTAGTCTTCTTCCTCTCCGAGTGTCAGGATACTCACTGTAGTGTGTGTGGTCTTGATACTCGTCTTTCAATACGAAGACGCCTCGTTCGCCACACCTTTTTTTTATATAACGAAAACTTTGAGACAACGAATTGGGTACTACCCGTAGGGGTTACTATCCGAGGACCTGTCTCGCCCCCTAAAAAACGATCCAATCAATCAAATGTGACTTCTTGCCTCGCGTGGCGAAAACCTAATCTTTCAAAAAGGATATGTTACGTCCGTTCTACCGCAAACAGGTAATGCCTAAGTCTCCAACGAGCGAGCAGCAATACACCTAACTGCTAGAATGCGCACGATAGCAGTGTCTACCAAGACTTCCCCGCACACCGTAGGCCGAACTACGGCTGCTCTGATTTCTCATACCAGATGAGAATACGTAGGCACAAGACGTCGATGTCTTGGCGAGCACAATCCCCCCTATCTGTAGTTTCCCGAACTACGTCGACTCTGACTTTCTCACACCCGTCGAGAATACGTAGGCCTAGGACTGCGAAGTCCTACCGAGTCTGTTCTTTCTCTTTTCTTCCCCGTTCTCTCTTTCCTCCTAACTTTCCTGTTTCTAACCCTTTCCCTCTATCCTTTGAAACACTTTTATAACATAATATTTAAGCAAATAAATTCACACATCGACAAACAAAAGGTTCCCATCGAGTACGATGGATGCGAGGGGTGCTAATACCTTCCCCTCGCATAACCGGCTTCCGAACCCGTTCTTGGTCGCGAGACCATCTTATCCATTTCTTTCTTAAGGTTTTCTCGATATTTTCCTTTCCCCTCATGGGATAAATAAAGTTCGGTGGCGACTCTTCTGTCCTTTCTTTTCGCCTCCCCGTCGTTGCGCGATGCAGTTTTTTCGAGTAGCGACAGCTGGCGACTCTGCTGGGGACTCCTAGCAAGCCACGCCTATTTTGTTTGTCGCATTTGTGCTTTATTTGTTTTGCTATTTATTTTATGTTTTTGTTTCTTTCTAACTTGTGGGGTTCATTTGGTTTGGGTTGTGAGGATAAAGCTTTCTACCCGAGCTTTCAAGTATGCACTAAGTTAGGAGGTGGTTTCTTTCTGATTTGCGGGACTTAGGACTCGTTGAGTTGGATTGAATTCCACCGCTCAGATGAGACCCCGTTGGAATAATTATGTCTTACGTGTAGTCGTAATGGCGTTCTTATCTTCAACTTGGGAGTCCGCGATTCTGAGGACCTTTTGTAGAACCTTATTCCAAAGGTTGCTAAAACATAACTCTGTGTTCATCCTTTTGAAGGGATTACCGTCTTACGAGTAGTCGTTATGATGGGAAACTTTTGAGGGTTAGTGCATGGGACTTTGTTTGAAAAGCCTTTTGGAATACCCTCTTATAAACCGATAGATTTCCCGCCCGATGGGAAAGATACCTTCTGTGGTTGTCTTGCAGGAAACTTTGACCTTCATCCTACCCGTTTGTCAGTATGAACAATTACAGTGGGATCCTTGTACTAATGTTGTTTGGTCTCGAGGCGAAGCGCTGGTCCGTCACCGTCAACAACACAACAACTTTTGATCCCCTGTTGCATTTGCATATTCATTTGCATTTCTTTGCATGTCTTGCATATTGCATCATTATTCATTTGCATAGAGGTGTTCTAATTTTGTGGGCGTAATTGCTTCATGTGGTTTTCCATCCGGCTTGTTCCAGAATTGAAGATCATTCCACCCAAAGGAAACCAACAGAGACGACCATGGAACAAATTCGAGAAGAGTTGAGGGGAATCCGAAGCCAAATGGGACAATTCATGACGGACATGCAAGTTTTGTTTCAGGATCAGAAAGTGCTTAGAGAAGAAGTCCATCAGTTGAAGACTCAGATAGGCCTGATAACAGAAGTCATGAGGA